ACTGTGTTTTTTGAGGTAAAATCACTTACAAACAATCAGTGTCACAACTTTGAGTTCCTCCATGTTGATATTCTGAAGTTCAAACGTTCACGAAATATTATAACCTACTTTAACATGACCTATTAATTATGCAACCACAGGTATTTGCAGCCATAGATCATTGTATTAGCCATGAGTATAATATTTCCACTTATTACAGTTTATAGTGGAATAATGTTTATGTGATATGATGACATGCCAATCAATTTACCTTTGCCTCTTCTTCATTTTATTTGTTTCTTTTATTCAACTTCTATTGAACATTAGTTGAATACAAGTTGAAATTGCTTACCATTACTACAATATTATTGTGTTATGGCCGACTTTTCATTCATATTCTTGTCATTGCCAACTCCTTTTATTTGGCTTGTTTGGATTTTTAGTCACTATGGGGAAAAATCAATGGACTAAGTCTCGCACATTGGAAGTTGAATCAAGTGACAAATAGGGAGCCTATTGTACTGTATCCGTAATTCTGAGAAATCTAACAATATACTCCAAATTAAAAGTGAAACTCTTTGAAATCCAAGTTTCAGCTTTATTTTTTACCAATGTAAGCTTGTTTTTAGCCAGACGACAAAACTTCCTTAATAATGATGATTCATTTTACCCACCACACATGTGTTATTAAACCATAATATAAAACCACCAAGGAATGTGGGGGTGGAATGGGGTACAAATAATACAAAATTCAAAAACAAATTTCAATCCCTATGATATTGTACAAGCTGATTTCTTGATAATAGGTTGCAGGCTATGAACATGAAACAGAAAATAAAAGTTTAAAAATATTTAATTTTTAGGAAGTAAAGTACTAGTATAGGAAATCAAAATTAGCACTTAAGGAAATTTTTATTATCAAAAAAAATTGTGTTAATAAAAACCATGATTCTCAAAGGGCTACTTTTAGTTCCCTTGTAATAATTTACAGTACATACTTTTATTTAGTACGGCTCTTATCTTAACAGTAATAATATAGGAAATAAGCTACTGTTTATTCGGATTAACACATACCAGCCCAGTAATTAGACCTATATTAATTCAAAAGAGCTTTGTCAAAGCCGGCAAGTTAAGGAAATGGCCAAGATGTAATGTTATTTACCTTGGTGTCACTGTATCCTCAAATATGTAAGGTAAATAGCAAATCGAAGAACGTTTTAGGAAATGTAAAACAGGTCTTTATTTCTTTACAATGCGTTGGTTTTTTGCAAAGATGGAATTGATATTCTTGTGAAAGTTCACTTATGGAATTCTATCTTAATTCCTATTATAATTTATAGCAATAAATGTGTTGAATTAAGTGATTCTATTATCAATAAACTCAATAAGTTTCAAAATAAGCGCCTGAAGGCCGTAATCATTATTCCTAAATTTTGTCAGAGCACTTCTGTTATCCATGCCATTAATGTACCTAAAATTAGTAATGTCATGAAATGCTTTCTGTTGGACATTATATCACAAATACCTCCGGTTCCCATATCCTTTTTTCACATCTGTTTAAGTACAACATTAATAATGGGCCACTCTTGTTTCGCATGCTATTAATGAATTTTCCTTATGCTGATCGCTATTTATGTTAACTATCATAAAAGTTGCATTTTAAAAAATAATTGTTGTTTAAATCACAGTATAAGTGTATTTATAATTTATTATCACCATTTTAATTGTTTTCTCTTTGTTTTTGATGCGCTGTTTTGTACATCTTTGCTTCTCCCTTTGGAGGTTTTGTGGAAATAAATAAATAAATTAGTGGTGGATAAATACATGATCACACTTAATACAGTATGCCTATGGCAGGCCTATACTGTATCTTTACTTTACTTGTGTAGGCCTATATTGTAAACATATTTACATTATTCGTCTGCAAATAGTTACAAGTAAGGTAACTAAATATTTACTCTTGATACAGAAGCACTTTACAGAATGGAAGCTATTTGACTAGATTACAGGTGGTTATAATGATTATCCAATTACCTGCCCAATTACCAGGTTATCATAATGATTATCAAATTACCATACCAGCCATATCATCAACGCTTCAACACTTTCGATATGTTAACAATGTATACCGTATCTAATGACAAGACTATCACTCATGCGAGCATTTTCCCAATGAGTTCATAATAATCCTTTCAATTACGATAGCAACCTATTCAAAAACCTTAAAATGTCCAGTGTTTTATTCTATTTATTTTTTATTTATTTCCAGGCAAAATCAGTACAGAATACAAAAACAATTCTGACGACAAAAACAAAAAGCCTGAGGATTACCAAAAGCAAAATGAATCACTATCTAAAAGGTTCTCCAGTGAATATTAAAGAAACAGACAAACAATTACAAATTACAAACACAAACATAAAAAGGTGATTAAAATATAATTTCACAAAATTGACAATTCAAATGTACAAAGATAAAAATTCAATTCTAATTAATTACAAAATTTACAAGGAGGTAGGTTGTTCCATAAATAAGGGAAATAGCCTACTGTGATTGAAAACAGAAAATTTATATACAAATAATTGTGCAATGGGAAGAATATTTTCATGAGTTGAAAATTTACTGTTCCATGAAAATGCATGGATGGAAGTAAAATGCACAGTGGAAAAAATGAAGTGGGGTTAATAACCAATGTGACGTGATACAACATCCACCAATCAAATGACAAGAATCTATTTAGGTGTGTTAAAAAACTATTTATTCTAGCAAATGGAATCTTAATCTAAAATCCGACAGGTGACAACAAGTACGGAATTTACAACAGGAAGATCTTGTTCAACATCATACTTTCTATGAAAACAGAACAAAACAAAGAAAATGAAGAGGCAGTAGTAGTTGACAAGCCACAGCCACGTGATAGTTTAGTCACCTTTAGAGCCCTATGGTGAGCCAAATAGTCATTTAAAGATCTGTAAATACAGATCTTTAAATTGTTCCATGACAAATACCAAAAACTATCATGAAAATCATTTTTGAAATTATAAAAATAATAAAAATATAAAAATTATCAACTTTTCAAATTACCGGTATGTTTTTTTTAAACAATTCTACTTAAATAGGCCCAGGTTGTCTTAATGTTTAAGATATGCCTGGGACAGTAATTTCTCAAGTAAAATCTATTATCAGAAAATATTATAATAAATTAATAAAATACAAATGGTGAATAACCAAACCTACGTGCTATTTGGTTTTTTTACTGTTAGACTTGTAGAGTGTATACATAATATTATTATTCAAACATACACCTTCAGATCGGTGGCTCTCAAAAATCGTTTGGTGTGTTCATAACAGATACAAAACAAACTTATTATATCAAGATAAGATTCTTAAACGTAAAATTAAAAAAAAAATCAGATACAATTTCGGATATGTTATACTGATACTGTTAAGTAAATAAACAGATAGTGTAAGTCACACACAACCTGAACTTTCACACTCAAAAGTCAGGTAGCTTCAAAAGATTGAAAGGTTTTCCGCCCTGAGAGAGAGTACTGGCATTAGTTGTGATTAAACAAAGGATGCAGAGTGGGACACAAAATGATGATGAAATAAGATACTTGTATTTGTAGATAAGTTATGAAAAAAGGATCAAGGAAAGAGGCATTGGCTTCGCCGCACATCATTCAATCATTTCAGTTGAACGGTTTTCTGTACTGCAAACTCAGAAATTACTGGAACAGTTCTTACTTTTAGCATAATCAATCAATTAATTATTAAATAATTTAGATGACTAAATAAATGCTAAAAATTGTACATTAAATATTTTTATGTAATTTTTATTTTTCTTCATAAATACTGCCTTTAGTTGAGCTTGAATTTCATTTTGATGCTAACTGAATATTAATTTGTCGCCAACATTTACAAAGAGAACTTTCAGTTGAACGGTTTTCTGTACTGCAACTCAGAAATTACTGGAACAGTTCTTACTTTTAGCATAATCAATCAATTAATTATTAAATAATTTATTGACTAAATAAATGCTAAAAATTGTACATTAAATATTTTTATGTAATTTTTATTTTTCTTCATAAATACTGCCTTTAGTTGAGCTTGAATTTCATTTTGATGCTAACTGAATATTAATTTGTCGCCAACATTTACAAAGAGAACTTGAGGATTTTATTATTATTGTACTGAAATTTTATTGTCTTTTAGTTTAATGTTTTGTTGTGATTAATTTATTACTGCATTATTTATCATCATTACTATTATTAGAGGGCAGCAGATTCTTCTGAGTTTAGTAATTTATTTGGCTGTCTCTTGTAAACTTCTGTATGATATACTTTATAGTAAAATATAATCAAATGAAATACCACACTTACATTGGTTTTATCAAGATGCAAATAAGTGCCAATAAGACAAGTACCACAAACTGAGCAGAACAGGCCTTTCTAAATATACTAAAACATCAATTCTTATTCAGTAAGCTTTTAATAAGCTAAAATATCCAATATCCCAAAACATACAAATTTTCGTAATTAACTTTAAAATATACCAGTTTTTTTACACTAAAAATCTTATTATTATCTAGACCACATCTAGAATAACATTAGTTATTATTAAAACCCAGAACTCTATTATAACCCACCTTACAAGTTAATATAATAATGACCCACTATTCTAATATTTACCTAGTTCTAGAGGAAGGGGAACTCCCCAAACCTTTTACTGATATCGATATGATGTTGGACACTCCAGATCAACAGATGATGGTTGAAGATGATGACGAAAACGCTGGTTAAAAGGGATAAATCCAAAATATGATTATGTAAAGTAGTGAATGGCTACCATTTTGATTTGTTTTGAGTTTATTATGAGGAATTAATTTGAAAATATGTAAGTTGTGAATTACTCACTTAAAATTATGTTGAAATGGTACAATAGCTGTATTAGTCTAGATAATAAACACAAAATTGAAGATAGTTTACCTGATGAAGACCATTGTGTGGTCAAAACTGGTGTGTCAATCAAGCTTAACAAATGACCAATTGATTGACATGTCGACAAGGACAAGAAGCCCCGCCCACAAAGTCACGAAAACCTTATACAATGGCGGCTAGACTTACCGAGTTGGCAAACATTTTCTTTGCTATCAACCTTTTTAAAGAAAGAGAATTCAGGGTAGGTGGTATGCAAATGTATCATATATTCATAGTGTTAATCTATTTCATAGGACAGGCGGGGAAATTGTTGTAAAAGCCTCTGTATTTTGCTCTCAAAGGAAGAGGGAAAAGCCGCATTCAGTCAACCTCGTTGGCAAAAGGCCAAGTCACTGATGTGCACTGCTCGTGTAAATCTGGGTATCTATAACCAAGCATAGACATCTAGGCCTAGGCTCACGTATGTTTTTCACCAGCTGTCTAAGGAAATTAAAATGTCCGAGAAAAAGTTAGACTAAATGACGCTCACTGATTAGTCGGTTTATCTGTCAATCAAATCTCGTTTTTTGGGACCTTAGCAATAGTATCCAAGGGGAGGGACTTAATCAAACTCCATTTTCAATTTAGATTAAGCAACTACTAACCTGAAGGAATTCCTCCATGATCATACTAATCTTCTGGAAGTAAAAGTCGCTAAGCATTTCTCAGCCGCTTGGTGGTATATCCAGTCATTAAAGCTGAAATCCATACCCTTCCAATCCTGCACACTCCCATTTTCTTAGTCACTGGGAATGTAATCTTAAAGAGAAAGAAAGGCTGAGTTATTTTCCAATGCTTGATGCAGTGGCAGATTTACAGAGGGATGAGTATGATGAAGAACGTACCTCCCTAATATTTTTTGTGGAAAAAAATTACCATGCTAAATAGTAGAAATCGCTCAAATGCAACCTCAAATTAATGAAGGTGCTACTGAGAGATTCAAGGATGTATTGACATCTTGCATCCCAATCAGGAACTCAATCTGCACCTAGGACTCTCGCTCTGCACATTCAGACTCTTCCCCACCCCACCCAACATTTCTTAACAGGTTGGATCCGACCAGGTGGGAATGGTGCTGCCCACAGACCACATGCACCCCCTACCCACCACATGAAAAATGAGCTTGGTGGAACTAAATCCCAGACTTCGGAACTATATCCCTAATCCAATGAAATCTTAATGGTCATCTTTAGTATTTTATCCCATTTTAGGGGAACTAATTTCTGCCACTGGTGCCAATGAGTACCATTCTTTGGAATCAATTTAAGGATTTTTGTAGTAAGGTCTGTAAATTGTTGAAAACAATTTTGGTCTGTTTCTGGTTGAAAGTTACAGTAAACAGTACAGTTTGTACTGTTCTTGCTTCTTGTGCTGATCGGTTATTATAAAGTTTCCAAATTTTTCAATAAACACTATATTCCATACCAGTTATTTAACCATAATATTAATAGTCCTAAAAATAAATAAGTTCAACGTAATAATAGAGAGAAATTTTTGATGAAGATCAAATTTGATAAAACTTATAAAAAATTGGAAAATTTTAAAGATATTCGATAGTCATAGTCATCCTGTTAAAAACAAATATGACAAAATATGCTAATTATAATGATAAAAAACATAGTTGTTGTACTAGCTCCAAGCTACATGATGAATTAACTGATTTATATAGCTCATGAATAATGTCCTAATATGTGTGTTTAACTTCAAATATTGAATAAAAGTTACAATGTATAGATCATTTTGAATAAACCTTTTTAGACTCATTAGTTCATGTTGTTGTTTTTTTATACATGCACATGTTACTTTTAGATTTATACAATTTTATCTTAAATCAAATATAAACTAGAAATTAGTAAGTTTATTTATAAGTACACTCAGACAGTATATACCTGTACCTTACTGTATAAGTATGCTCTTTTAAACAATACATCATTCACAATTTCCTACAGTACTTGTGTATGCAATTTTTTCATGTTTATAATCTATTCTATTATACGTGCATACTCACATTGTATACCTTACATGTACTTATAGACTAATCTATGCGCACATGCGCATTATATAGCCTATTCTTATGCA